AGGTCCACTCCAGACACTGCTTGCCGGGAAATCACCAGTGGGAGCTGCAGAACAGCATAGATTGCTGCCTGTTTCTTCCTCTGATAGCTTTGTCCCAGAGGGTCACCCACCAGATGCCAGCCAGAGCTCTCTTGTGTGAGGTGTCTGTTGGCCCCTACTGGGAGGTGTCTCACAGTCAGGATTCACAGGGGTCAGGACTGCCACTTGAGGAGGCACTCTGTCTCTTATTTGAGCTGGAACACTGTGCTGGGAGATTTGCCATCCTTTTCAGAGCTGCCAGGCAGGGACATTTAAGTCTGCTGAAGCTGTACCCAAAACAGCCTCCTGTACCCAAGTGCTCTGTCCCAGGAAGGTGGGGACTTTATTTATAAATCCCTGATGGGCTGCTGCCTTTTTTTCAGAGATGCCCTGCCCCATGAGGTGGGAGTGTAGTGACGCAGTCTGCCTGCAGAGACCTTCCTAAGCTACTGTGAACTCCACCCAGTTTGAACTTTCCAGCGTCTTTGTTTACACTGATGTTAAAACCACCTAATGGAATCTCAGCAATGGTGGACACTCTCCTCCCTCCCCCACCAAGCTCAAATGTCTCAGGTGAAGTTCAGACTGCTGTGCTGGCTATAAGAATTTAAGCTAGTGGATCTTAGCTTGCTGGTCTTTGTGGGGGCAGGAGCCACTGAGCCAGATCACTTGGCTCCTTGGTTTCAGCTCCTTTTCCACGATAGTGAATGGTTCTTTCTCTTTGGTGTTCCAGGCACCAGTGGGGTATGAGAAAAAAACTGCTGTGGTTAGCTCAGTGTCTTCCAAAACAGCCACCCAGTTTTGTGCTGGAAACCCAGGCCCTGGTGTTGTAGGCACTGGAGGGAATCTCCCAGTCCACAGGTTGTGAAGACCACAGGAAAAGCATAGTATCTGGGCTGGAGTGCAGGGGACAGTCCCTAATGGCTTCCCTTGGCTAGGAGAGGGAGTTCCCTGGCCTCTTACGCTTCTTGGGTGGAGGCGATGGCCCACTCTGCTTTGGGTCGTGCTCCTTGGGTGCATCCGTTGTCCAACCAATCCCAATGATATGATCCAGGTAACTCAGTTGAAATGCAGAGATCACCTGCCTTCTGCATTGATCTCTTTGGGAGCTGCACACTGAAGCTGTTCCTATTTGGCTATCTTGCCAGCAACCCGGTAATTTGTCTTATTTATTTATTTATTTATTTATGTATTTATTTTTGAGACTTGGTCTCAGTCTTTTGCCACAGGAGTGCAGTGACATGATCTTGGCTCACTGCAACTTCCACCTCCTGTATTGAAGCAATTCTGTCACATCAGCCTACTGAGTAGCTGGGATTGCAGGTGGGCTCCACCACCCCCAGCTATTTTTGTATTTTTAGTGGATAAGGGGTTTCACGATGTTGGCCAGGCTGGTCTTGAACTCCTGACCTCAAGTGATCTGACTGCCTTGGCCTTCCAAAGTGCTGGGATTGCAGGAGTGAGCCATCGCATGTGACCCTCCTCTTATACTTTTGAGGAGATGGTCCCTCATGCCACAGATCACTGGATTCCTCAAAACCTTACCAATGTAGCAGACACTTGAATCTTTGTATAGTTCACCATGCTTTGGAATGCATTTGTGCTACAGAAACTTGCAGAGTATATTCCAGTTCTTGCTCATCACATTTTAATACATATTATTAATACAGTGAACAAATTTGATGCTCTACAAAATATTCAGATGGGCCAGTTCCTTTATGTGATGGTAGCAAGCAGGGTATGTAATGTATCCTGGGAATAAAATTTAAAATGTAGAGTTATTTGGTTTCAGTGAATATAAATAGCCTCTGGACTTCTTTTTCATATGTATTGAAAATAATGCATTTAGACAGATCAACAGTCTTATACAATGAATACAACTCTGTATAAATCTGATCTACTAAAAATAAAACATTCTGGCTGGGCAAGGTGGCTCATGCCTCTAATCCTAGCACTTTGGGAGGTCAAGTCAGGTGGATCGCTTGACCTCAGGTGTTTGAAACCATCTTAGGCAATATGTGAAACACTCTCAATACAAAAATGAGCTGAGTGTGGTTACTTGCACCTGTAGTCCCAGCTGCTTAGGAAGCTGAGGCATGAGAATCACCTGACCCCAGGAGGCGGAGCTGGCAGTGAGCTGAGATCTCACCACTGCACTCCAACCTGGGTGAAGGAATGGGACCCTGTCTCGAAAAAAAAAAAATCATATTGAGACCAGCTAATAAAGTTGCGACTATTTTTTTTTTTTTTTTGAGATGGAGTTTCACTCTTGCTGCCCAGGCTGAATTTTAATGGAACGATCTCGGCTCACTGCAACCTCAGCCCCCCGAGTACAAGCGATTTTCCTGCTTCAGACTCCCAAGTAGGTAGGATTACAGGTGTGCGCCACCATGCCTGGCTAGTTTTGTATTTTTAGTAGAGATGGGGTTTCTCCATGTTGGTCAGGCTGGTCTCGAACTCCTGACCTAAGGTGATCTGTCTACCTTGGCCTCCCAAAGTGCTGGGATTTTAGACATGAGTCACCATGCCTGGCCCGAAGTTGCAACTAATTATTGGGTGAGTCTGCATTAGTCTATTTTCATCTGCAATTATCTGTCCAATTACTCCAAGAACTGAATCCGTGCATTAAACTGTTACATGATGGAACTAAATTCTTGCATCTTTTAAGTCTTGGAAGTTTGGCTCACTTTGCTTCTGCCTTGCTGCTTTCTGGCCTCTGGCTTCCTAGGATTCTACTGTTCCCTTTGCTGCTAGGGACACAAGTTCTTTAACATCATCTCCTAGAGTCAGTTCCAGGTTGCAAACGACAGACAAAATGTGGTTAATACCCTGTTCACCTGCTTATTCCTTATTGCTTAGTAGAGTGCCCTTTGGCTCTTCCATAGAAATAGTCACGTGGTGGGCTGTCCACTTCTACAAAGCACATCTGTCTATGCCAGCAAGCTCACTGCTCAGAGCTCTGAGCTTTTCAATCTCTGTCTCCACAATCTGCCATAAAGGTTCTGGCACCTCTCCTTCATTTCATGTGAGCCATCACTTTTTATTAGAATGGTTTTCTTGAGATAAAATTCACATGCGTTATTCAACCATTTGAACTCAGTGGTTTTTAGTATCATCATCACAATCAGTTTTAGAACATTTTCATAAACCCACACCCATTTATTCCCAAGCAGTCATCTCCATTTCCCTCTAACACCTCCTCAGTCCTAGGCAACAAGAAATCTACTTTCTGTCCCTAGAGATTTAGTTTTTATGGACATTTCATATAAATAGGATAATATAATGGATGTTGTTTGGTAATGGACTTCTTTCACATAGCAGAGTGTTTTTAAGATTCATCACATGTATCAGGATTCATTCCTTTTTAGGTCCAAATAAAACGTCTACACTGCTTACCCCACCTTGCTCATTTCTTCCTTTCAAAACCACAACAGAGGCTTTCACGCATACCTTCCCATCCTGTTCCACCTGATCGGCCCTGGTGCTGCCCTGTGTGGCCCTGCCTATTGTGCTGTGCTCCTGTATCTGTGGGTAATTAGCTCTTCCTTCAGTGGCATCAGCTTCTCTGTGTCATCCCTCGGTCATCCAAATCTGTTGGGCATTTGAAACACCTACCAAAGCCCAAATCTTATAATAGGTTCATTCTAACATGCTCTTACTGAGACACCTGGGAGTTCTCCAAAGTGTGCATTCTCCCTCAGTGCAGTGAGCAGTAAACTCAACTTCTTCACCTAAGGTGCTCCTGCTGGTCTTTGGCTGAAGGATATTCACACATTATTACTGCTTTGTCTATTTACTTCTTATATGTCTTTGAGGCTGGTTAAGGGAATGGGTTTGTATATTTATATGCTTGTGGATTACAAATAGATTTTTTAACTTGTAATTAGTCAAATCAATTATCATCATTCTTTATGGCTTTCCGCACTTTATTATGCTTAGAAAATTCTTCATAATTGTAAAAACCTCACACATATTTTCACCTAGAATTTTTCTAAGTGAGACAATGAGAAAAGAGGCATCTTAGGGTGAAAGCAAACAATTATTCCAAGTTGCAGGGAGATAAAGGATACTAATGTGATGGAATTCTAAGGTTTAAATTCCTTGTTTCATAATTTTGGAAATGTGTCTACAGGGTCTGTAGATCACGTGATATATGTGGCGTTCAGGGAATACTTTCTCTTGGGATAAGTGAAGGCCTATTTGCCTCCTTAGTGTTCACTAAGTTAAAGAAAACATTATGCCAGATTTCCAAGGAAATACAGATGTAGGTTGACAACAGGGATGTACATTTATGAAAACTTGAGACTTTGAATTGTTGTCATGTTCTGGTTAATGTCTGTACACTATGGTTGTTAAAATACACATTAGGTTGGGCACAGTGGCTCATGCCTTTAATCCCAGCTACTTGAGAGGCAGAGTTGGGAGGATCACCTGCATCCAGGAAGTCAAGGCCCTAGTGAGCTCTAATCACACCATTGCACTCCAGCCTAGGTGACAGAGTGAGATTTTGTCTGAAAAACAAAATAAAACAAAACACATTCATTATATTTTCTTGAGCATACTGTATTTTAATGTTACATCTAAGACCCACAGACACATCCATGGCTCCCTTATGAAGGTAACTTTGATATATATCAATCTTTATGTCACAAAGTGTATCTTTGGAGAGATTAAAAAGAACACTCTAGTATGCACTGTTAGATATGATAGCTACTAGTCACAAGTGGCTATTGAAATCAGTTAAAGAAAATTTAAAATTCAACTGCACAGTCAGACTAGCCACAGAGACAGGACCAGAGATTCACAAGCCATGTGCAGCACAAGGAGCTGCTGGGCCCCTCACCGTGAGATGGGGTAAGCAGGCGATGGGGGGTGGAGTCTTTTCTCAGGAAAAACAGGAGCAGTTCTGGAGACATTCAGGAGGGTCATGGCTGAGGTCCTGAGATTAGAGGCCCTCACCTTCTCTTCCTTTCCCATAGCAGTCTTCCAGCCCACCCTCCCCATTGTGGGCACCACTGCTGGCCTGGTTCTCTTTATAGTTGTGGGCACTGGAGCTGTGGTGGCTACCCTTGTGATGTAGAGGAGGAAGAGCTCTGGTATGTAAGGGGTGGAGTTTGCATTTTCTTGTTCCTTTGGGCCTCCTTAATGAAAAGTACCACACATACACAAAGCGCGCGCGCGCGCACACACACACACACCCACACACACACACACACACACACACAGCACAAACACTCATGCTCATGGTCCCTGTATGCTAAACTTTCTGTAATGTAAAGCACTGGTGAAGATAAAGGATGCATCACCTTGATGAATCTAGAGATGGGACCTGATTCCCAGCAGTCATTGGTCAGAGGGGAAGGACTCTGCTGAGGACAGACCTCCAGCCACCCGAGAGGGCAGGTGGTCCAGCCCCTGTACATCTCCTGTTCTTGATTTTCTGATCATGCCCTGGGTCTGATTACAGATCCAAATAGAAAAAAGTTGAACTTCAGCACATTAAAAACTTGTGTGCATCGAAAGACATTATCAGTACAGTGAAAAGACAATTCATAAAATGGCAGAAGATATTTGCCAATTACACATCAGGGGCTAGTATTCAGATACATAAAGAAATCTTTACATTTCAATAGCAAAAGGCAAATAATCCAGTCACAAATGGGCAAAGGACTTGTACAGACATTTACTCAAAGAAGAGACATAAGCAGCCAAGAAACATAGGAAAATATGATCAGCAACATTAGCCATTTCAGAAATGCAAAGTCAACTGCAATGATACGGCTATGGTAATAACTTTTTTTTTAAAATAGCAAATGTTAGGAAGAATGTGGAGAAATTAGAAGCTTCATCCCACTATGTTTTTAGAAATATAAAATGGCCAGCTGAGGTTCTTGATTGGTGGAAGCGTTCCTCTCTTGGGAAATCCACTAAGCCCAAGATGGCAGGGATGGGAAGCAGAAAAATTTTAAGTAATTAATAGGTGTAATTGTTCAAGAACATTTATTACATAATAAATTATCTCAGCTTTTTTAGTGAAAATGATTCTAAGTTTGTTCATCTTTTCATACATTCCATAAATTGTACAGTATATTATAACACACTGGCAGTCTCAGCTACTTCAAAGGCTGAGGCGGGAAGAGTTAAAGACCAGTCTGGAGCAATATAGCAAGGACCCTTATCTTAAAAAAAATGTGTTTAAATACATTGTATGAGTTATTCTATATCTTTTGTGTTTTCATATACACAGTACATCAGTTCATTAATTTCTGTCAAAAGGCCTCCTAGAATTCTGTTTGGTATTTGAACCTCTGGATTAATTTGGAGAGCATCACATTTTAACTATGTGCAGTCTTGCTCTCCATGAACAGGGGATATATGTATGTCGGTCCTCTATACACCCTTTCCACAGTCTGTCTTGGTTTCCAGTGTCTTGTATTTCAGAGTTCATAAACATTTATAAGGTTTATGTTTCTGATACTAATGTACTTGGAAAAAAATTTAAATGTAAATTGTTATCTTTGTGTATTGCTTATATATGTTATTTGGGGTGTGCTATTGTTTTTTTTTTCTTTTCTATTTTATTCATTTGTGTTTGGTTTTGATTTTCAATTACTCTTGTAGCCTAAAATTGTTTTGGTAATTTTTCATTAAAGATCTTTGTACTGTTAGCCTTGAATAAAAAGAGCCTGTAACTTTTTTCCATGCTTCTTTTCTTTTCTCAATTTGGTTACTTTAATTTCCAGTACATTTGTCCATTTCATAGAAGTTGGCAAAAAATACATAAAATATTATCTTCTTATTATTTTAATGGAAGTAGGATCTTTGGTAATAATCCTTTTTACATTCCAGATACTGGTAATTTTTGTCCTCTCTTTTTTTCTTCAACAGTCTAACTAGAGGTTTGTCAGTTTAATGAAGATTCAAATTTGCCTCTGTTTTCTCTGTTAATGTCTACCTTATTTATTTGATTTCTTCTCTTTAGGATTTTCTTCTTTGACTTACTTTTGCATTATTTTGCTCTTCTTTTTCTAGTTTTCTAGGGTGGAACTGATTTTAGGTCTTTCCTCATTTCTAATTTAAGCACTTAAGCTTCATGTTTCCCTCAGAGCACTGCTTGAGCTGCATCTCACAGATTTGGATATCTTGTTTTGTGATTATTCAATTCAAAATATTTTCTTATTTCCCTGGTGATTTTTGTCTTTCGCCCTTAATTTACATAAAAACATGTTATTTCATTCCATATAATTTGGATTTCAAAATATCTTCTTTGTATTGAAATCTAATGTAATATTGTTGTAGTCAGAGAATACACTCTGATGAATTTTATGCTGTTAAGTTAATTGAATTCTGTCTTCCAGCTCAGCACATTGCTCTAGAATTGCATGGTGAATCTATCTCATGTACCAGGGGAAGAAAAGAGTCCCTTCTTCCATTCTTGGGAGTAATGGTGCATAAATGAATATTAGACAAGGGCAGTTGAGATTCTGTCTCTCCTGACACTTTCATTACTTCTATCAATTGCAGAGAGGGGTAATAAAATTTATACTGATTATGGGTAAAATCAGTCATGTTTATCCATATCTGGCTCCAAAGTGTCTGCAACCCTCTGTGGGGTAGGTGCAGATCGCTTCCTGGGAGGACAGAGCCTAAGAGACTTTTTGATTTCCCCAGATGCCTACGTTCCAGGGAGGTCATCTCTGAGCTCTGAGAAGCCTAGGGATAAGAGTGTCTTGAGAGAATTGCAGAAAGAAAATGACTTGTTCTTTTTGCTGGTTCTACTAAAGAGAAGGTGTCCATACATCAGACCCAGGGAAGGAGTCTCCAGGCCAGGGAGGACCCAGGGCTCTTGTGCAGCTCCTGCCTAGTGTTCTGAGGTTTCCTCTGCTCTGCAGAGAATCCCGACCAAATGATGCCTGTCACCAAGCAGATAGGGGCAGGTTAGTCCTTTTGCACACAGGAGGTACCTCGAGTCCCTTGCACTGTCCTGCAAGTTTCCAGCCTGTCTGGAAACAGGAAAAAAATGCATTCTGGTGGAATAATGCAGTATTTTGGAGCTCACTGAGCCCAGGGCATCCACTGCTGATCTTCTGGCAAGGAAGGAGGTGCCCAGTGAGATTCTCAGCGCAGAGTGAGAAGTCTCCTAAGGGTGGGAAGAAACAACCAGAACTGGGAAGCTATTCCTTATTTCACAGCAAGTACAAACATAATGGGAAAGCATAGAGAAAAAGGAGGAAATTATAGGGAAAGGTGCTGGGGTGGGGCGGAGGTGACAATGTGGGCGGGGTAGACCAAACCCAGCACTGGTGGGGGGTAGGAGAGAGAGGTATAATCCTTGATTAGAAAATGGGCACTTAAGGGTCAGTATAGTTACTGAGTGAAAAGGGTTACATATGTTTTAAGGACCTTAAAACGTGTTATACTTTATCATTGGAAGTGCAGGGAGAAGAAGGGAAACTGCATAATAAAAGCAGACCCAGTGTAGTAGAATCAGCAGTCAGCCCTGGAAGCTGTTTTCAGTACTCTTTACCCAGGTGTGAGCCCTCTGAGTCCTGGATTCCCCACTCTCCAGCACCCAATTCCCTCTCCTGTAATGAACTGGGGTCAGGAGAAGAGATGGACAGATGGGCCATGCTGAAGGGCCGTCAGTCACCTGTGCCTGCAGATGAGAAACCGCAGCCTAACCTGACGGGAGGTCATGCGGAAAGGAGTTTGCACCCAGAGCCCCCAGCTCAGGATTTCCATCCCAACTCGAGATCTCTAAATACTGAGGGCTCTGCCCAGTCTGGTTTGACCATGCGCCCCCTTCCCCACACTGTGGGACCCCGGCTTTTCCTCCCAAACTCCACACCCCCAGATGCTGATACCAGGCTCAGGCTCATCGTGGAAGCCGCTCCATCCGACATGGCAACAGTTTTGATTCCGACGCTTTGACAACCTAGTCCAGTCTCCTCTGGAGGGAGACACCGAGCCCTTTGCCGATGCGCTGGAACTGACTGGGAACAGGCTGCGATCTCAGAAGGGGTTAGGGCTGGACACCGGAGTCGTCTTCTAACCACCGAGTGGGCTCTAACCACGGAATTCAACTCTAACCACTGACTCCTCCAGAGGAGGAAGAAAGAAGCCTCTCGGTACACGAAGCTGAAACCGCAAACCGCAGCCATGGCAGAGAAACCTCAGCTTAAATAGTGTAGAGCTGTCACTAGGTATCCGAGGCTTGTAGTCCAGGAGGAGCCCGCGAGGCTGTAGCGGCTGCGAGATCCGCGCGCGCTCCCGCCCAGCGGAGGCCCCGGGCTCCGGGAACCGGGGCTGCTTCTCTCCGGGGCTCGCGGCCTGAGGAGCCCTCCGCTCTGAATCCGGGCTGGCCTCTCCAGGAAGCCCCGAAACTCAGCTCCCGGGTGGGCCAGGAAGGCTGTCCGAGTTGGGCAACGCCGGCCGGGGCCTCCCTCAGAGCCGAGCTGCTGCCGCCCTCGAGGCCCAGCCGAGCCTGGAGGAGAGATCGGGTCCGCGCGGGTGCGGCCCTTGCTGCCTGGAGACCCCACGAGCCCCCAGTCGGGGGTGGAGGTCCGTCTGGAAACCACTCTCTGCTTTGAGGACACGCGCGGAGCTTCCCTGGGAGGAGGAGGCCGTGCAGGAAGAGGGGCAGACGCCAGGCCTCTGGCCAGCCGTGCCTGGGTCCCAGGCCTCCCTGTGTCCACGTCTAGAAACCTCACACAGTACACAAACACATGGAAATTAAACAAAGATGCTCAGCTAGTAATCGGTGGCTCATGCTTGTAATCCTAGAACTTTGGGAGGCCGAGGCAGGCGGATCACGAGGTCAGGAGTTCGAGACCAGCCTCACCACGATGGTGAAACCCCGCATCTACTAAAAATACAAAAATTAGCCAGGTGTGGTGCCGCGCGACGGCAATCCCAGCTACTCGGGTGGCTGAGGCAGAAGAATCACTTGAACCTGGGAGGCGGGGGTTACAGTGAGCCGAGAGCATGCCACTGCTCTCCACTCCAGCCTGGATGACAGAGCGAGACTGTCTCTAAAACAAAACAAAACAAACAAAAACAACAAAAAAAGAAAATGCTCTTGAATGACTAGTAAGTGAAGGAAGAAATTAAGAAAAAGTAAAATTTCTTAAACGAGAATGAAAACACAAATAACCAACTCTACGGGATACAGCAAAGGCAGCACTAAGAGGGAAGCTTATAGAAATAAACACCTACATCAAAAAAGCAGAACGACTTCAAATAAACAATTTGACAATGCACCACAAGAAACTACAAAAATAAGAACAAATCAACCCCAAATTTAGTAGAAGGAAAGAAATAATTAATATCAGAACAGAAGGAAATAAAATTGAGACTAAAAATGCAGATTAAGGAAACATAAAGTTGTTTTTTTTTTGAAAAGATAAACCAAATGGGCAAAACTTTAGCTAAACTAAAGAAAAAGAGAGAAAACCTAAATCAATAAAATCAGAAATGAAAAAGGAGACAAAACAACTGAAGCCACAAAAATACAAAAATTCATTAGAGCAGGGGTGTCCAATCTTTTGGCTTCCCTGGGCCACTTTAAAAGAAGAATTGTCTTGGGCCATTAGTAAAATATGCTATCACTAAGGATAGGTGATGAGCTAAAAAAAAAAAATCACAAAAAACTCATGTTGTTTGAAAAAGATTTACAAATTTGGGCCACATTCAAAGCTATCCTTGGAGCTTTGTCCTGTGGGTTGGGAAAGCTTGGGTTGGGAAAGCTTGCATGGAGCCTATGATGAACTACTATATGCCAACAAATTGTAAAAGCTCGAAGAAATGGATACATTCCTTAGGTATATCACCTACAAGATTGAACCATGAAGAAATAGAAAACATCAACAAAGCAGTAATGAGTAATGAGATCAAAGCCATAATAAATCTCTTTCATTAAAGACAAGCCCAGAGCCTGATAGCTTCACTGCTGAATTATAGCAAACATTTAAAGAATTAATGCTAATTCTACTCAAACTATTCAGAAAATTTTGAAGTGGAGGGAATGGTTTCAAACTCATTTTATGAGGTCGGGATTACCCTGATACTAAAAGCATACAAGGACACAATAAAAGAAAGCTACAGGCCAATATCCCAGATCAACATAAATTCAAAAAATTTACAACAAAATACCAGCAAACCAAATTCAACAACACGTTAAAAAGATCATGCACCATGATCAAGTGGGATTCATCCCAGGGATGCAAAAATGCTTCAATATTTGCAAATCAATAAACAAGATTCATCACATTAATAGAACCAAAAGCAAAAACCACATGGTCATTTCAATAGGTTCTAAAAAGGCATTTGTGAAATTCAACATCCCCATGATAAAAACCCTCCACAAACTAGGTATAGAAGAAACATAACTCAAATAATAAAGGCTGCATATGACAAACCCACAGCTAACATCACACTGAACAGAGAATATTTAAAAGTCTTTCCTCTAAGAACTGGAACAAAACAAGATGCCAGATTTTATCACTTTTATTCAACATAACGCTGGCTGGAGCCTGACTCAGTGTGTGCCACTCCAGAATGGGCTTGGCACCCATAAACCCAGCAGCATTGTGGGCTGCTGGCCCACCAGTGCATAGCTCACCCAGCTGAGCCAGCTGTCCTTGGCCTGCCAGGTCTCAGATCATGTACAGCCCAGCTTTCTGGGGCACAGGGACACTGG